AAAATGACTTCACCTTCTTGAAGGTGAGTTACTTCTTTAAAAAGGAACTTGTTTCTTAACTTTAAAAATAACTTATAAACATGGAGCTTTAATTTAAATAAGAACTCATGCACATTCACATCAAACATAGCTCAAACAAAATCACATTTCATCAACCATAAGCACAATCAAACAACGACAATCACCTCATCAAAATACTTAAGACTTGTAATTCTTGAAAGAACACGTAAGGCGTAGAATTTACCCCCTTTACACTCACCTTGTAAAGATGACTCCTCGATTCCTTACTCGAAGAAATCCCCCTCCTAGCCGAATTATCTCGATGAACCTATTAATAAGAATGTCATCTCCTTAGTCGACCTTTCTCGATTTAGAATTCCCTTTTGGGTCACTAGGACATCCTCTCCTCAAAATCCAGCCCACGAGACCCGCTCCCAAGGTCCCTTAACCCCCTTTAGAAATTTTCTAGGAAAAATCGCCTCAAACCGACCACTTTTCCTAATTAATTTAGTCTTGGATGAATTTTCCACCTAACTTGAACCTTCTTAAAAATTCAGATAATAATTTTTCTACATCAAGCATGAGTACTTAAATCCTGGAAAATTATCAAACCCTTGTAAACTCATCGGAAATATTTTTATTTAATTAAAACGAATGTTTGAACAATTTCTAAAATAAAAAATACATCTTCAAAAATCCCCAAATTAATTTACAGCCATCTCCTAGACCTTCCCCAATTTATTAAACTTTTAAACTTGAGAACAAACCCCCCATAAAGACTCGAAACAATTTAAACCATCTAAAACAAGTTTATGGAAATTCCCAGCAGCTTTAGTGACCACCCAAATCCTGTCACTAAAAGCCTGAACGTCTGTTGCTAAAACCTCAGAATTGCACCCCTCACGAAAATCAGCAAATCGATCGATCTAACTCAAAGGGATCGAGTTCCCTTACCTCTAGAACGCGCCTAGGCCTAGGTTGGATGACCCGGGACGTTGATCTCCTTGTTGATCGAACTCTCAACGTCACCGCTAGAAACACGAGAAGGATGGGATCGGGATCGGCTGTCGACTCGCGCGGCTGGGGATTTGGTGGCGGTCACAGGTGGTGGCGGTTGATTCTTCTTCTCCGGGGAAATTGAGAGGCGGCGGGGGGCTTGGGAAATTGAGAGGCGACTGGTGTTGAAAAACCGCTTGGTGGGGAAGGAATAAATGGCGAGGGGTTTTGGGGAATTGATTTTGGCCGAGGGTTCTGGGGAATATTGGCGGTTCTTGGGAATTAAGTGGGGGTCGGGTTTTTGCTGGGGGAATTATTTGTTGGGGTTTCGGAAAAGAAAGGAGGCCGAGGGTTTAATTGAGGGGCCGCTCGGCCCCAGGTCGGCTTTTTACTTTTTTTTATAATAATAATAAAATTATTATTATTATTATTATTATTACTACTAATCCGCGATTGAAACCTTTAGTACGCAACTGTCAACCCAACCGATCACGTATTATGGTCGAATCATAACCCAAAATTCGGGGTGTTACATGAACGACTTGTACTTGGAGAAGGGGTTTGTTGTTTGCAACCCTAGTGCTTAATGCAATTTTGATCTACCCATAAAAAAAACTGATTGACAAGACGATATTGTCAAAAAAAATTGCAGAAGATATTGTCAAACTTTACATGAACAAGAAAGTGCTATTTAACAACGAGACCCAAGACGAATGTAAGAAAGATACAACGGTGCAATGATTGATTACTATCAAATGAGGGGTCGTAATGCATAGTGGGGAAAACCCATACAAACTAGCCTACCCAGATGAACCAATTTCAAACATTCAAACAAAATTATGAAGAAGATGAATCAGTTTTCATCCTAACCCACAACCTTAATTTCGTATATTCAAACAGTACGAGGAAGAAGTTGAACTAGTTTGCACACAACCCCGAACCCTAATTTCATCCATTCAAGCACCATGATGAAGATGATAATCAGTTCGTACCCCAACCGAGAACTCTAAATACACTAAACCCAGAATCAAGGATCCCAACCTAGAAGGATCCAAGCATAGAACAAGAAAGGAGGAAGAGAGGACGCACCTGGAAGCCAGGCACTCAAAAGTTTCTTACACAAGAAGATTTCACTGTCCCGATATCCTCGCATGCGAAGCTCTACTCCCTTGCAAAGCTAGTGAGATTGGAGTTGTAGATCAGACACACTTCAAGGCGATCGCCGACGTCGCTATAGATCGTAGCTAGTGAAATTCCATTGCAGTAATCAACAATGAGAGGTTGAAAATCCGTTGCAGTTTCACGAGCCTCGTACCGGGAGTTAAGAAAGAGATAGACATGAGAATGAGAGGTTGGAACTGCTGAGTCAATGAATAAAGTATTAAGGGCAAGAAAGGAATAACAAAATTAAGCAGGAATATATTATGACGGTTGGAAAAAAGTAGGCAGAGATTTCAAAATATATGGGGCCCATTAGCTATTTCAAATTCACTAACACTAGGATTTTCGAAATCCTTAATCCCTCAAATGTCTCATTTTTTTTTATTTCTATCCAAACAAAGGATTGTGACAAAATTCCTAATGACGAGGAATGGTGGCAAAATGTCTGCTCACATGTTCTAATTTAAACAACCCATAAATTAATTTTCTAATCCAAACGACTTCTAAAGGAATCTAGCCTAATATATAACATGTTTGAAGACAATCTCTCTAAAATTTACATACATATTTAAATAGAATGCAACATTCCAAAAAAAAAAACAATCCTCATATTCAAATACAACATTTAATGTCAATATCCAAACATATATACTTGAATCCAACAAATAACATAAACATCCCACATTGAAGTCGACAAATAATATCAACATTTAACTATCAAATTCCGGAAACAAATAAAAAACTATTGTTTTCTTAATTAAATTCACAAGACGTCATTTTATTTAGAGATCGATAATCGGTCATGTCGATCGTACTAATAACATTCCAGATAGTTTTATCACCAATATCGGTTAAACCAAGTTGTACCGGCGAGTATGCAACCGGTTTAACAACCACACCATCCAACCATCTTTATCTTTGTTTGGTCAGGTGCATGGTTGTCAAACCGGTACCGATCACCAAACCGGCTGGAAAGGGGTCGGTATTAAGTGTGGTCAGATCCAGTCAATGCCGGTCAGATCCGGTCAAATCCAAAAAATTCCAGCCAGTTAGACCAGAAACCGGAATTCAATGTTACACACATTATATCCAAAAATAAACACCCTCCATCACACTTAAACAACCCATAAATAAACTTTCTAATCCGTTACGACTTCTAAAGGAATCTAGCCTAACATATAACATGTTTGAAGACAATCTCTCTAAAATTTACATACATATTTAAATAGAATGCAACATTCAAAAAAAAAAAAAAGCAATCCTCATATTCAAATACAACATTTAATGTCAATATCCAAACATACATACTTGAATCCAACAAATAACATAAACATCTCACATTGAAGTCGACAAATAATATCAACATTTAACTATCAAATTCCAGAAACAAATAAAAAACTAATTTTTTCTTAATTAAATTCACAAAACGTCATTTTATTTAGAGATCGATAATTAGTCAAGTCGATCGTACTAATAACATTCCAGATAGTTTTATCACCAATATCGGTTAAACCAAGTTGTACCGCCGAGTATGCAACCGGTTTAATAACCATGCCATCCAACCATCTTTATCTTTGTTTGGTCAGGTGCATGGTTGTCAAACTGGTACCGGTCACCAAACCGGCAGGAAAGGGGCCGGTATTAAGTGTGGTCAAATCCAGTCAATGCCGGTCAGATCCGGTCAAATCCAAAAATTCCGGCCAGTTAGACCAGAAACCGGAATTCAATGTTACACACATTATATCCAGAAATAAACACCTTCCATAAGATTTGAACCAAGTACATCATATTCAACGGGAAAAAAAAAACCAAGTACATCATGTTCATTTTTGTTTCACTTACACCAATAGGCTACAAGCAACTTTGTTGTATACATTAACCTTATATATTATATATCTAATACTAAATTTTACACAAATCATTATAAACATTAATAAAATTAATTTTATATACGTTTTTTAAGCATATAATTCTTTAGTATTAGTTACCAATTCTTAGCTATAAATTATTTTGTGCGAAATAATTCTTCTAATTGCTTTTGCATGAATAATTTATTTGGAATTGAGAATTTCCATTTTTCTCATGTATTTTATTAAAACCGGCATAACCGGCATAAATACTAGTTGTACCACGATCGGACCATTCTACTTGTAAAACCGGTACACCTACATGTCAGTCGAGACTCTAGAGTATATTTTAACGAATAACGAGTTCCCAAATTTCAATAAATGAAAGTCCTAATTCTCCTAATTGAATTGACAGCGAAAGCTCATCGATTTCCCGACATAGATCTCTTCCCTCCTACCCATCGCCTACCGCCATACATAGTGCAGCCCTTGCAGTCACCAAGCTCCGTCTTCGTTTGGTGATTATGGCCCCACTTCCCGATGAGGAAGAAATATTTTTGTTATCCTTAGAGCATCTCCATCAATGCAATTATAAAAGAAATTGCATTTGTATATTTTATTATCAACTCAAATTTTTTGAAATCCACATCACATTCGTTTCATTCACCTACATCAATGCAATTAACTTGCAATTGCAAATGTAATTAAATATTATGTTTAAATTATAGAAAATTAAGTAAAAGAGAAAAGAAAATAATAAAAAATTCTCATTTTTTAGGCTTTTTTGACTTGCATATGGAATTGCATTTGTTGCAAACTTGCAAATATGCAATTGATAGCCACATCAATGTAATTGATTTTGCAATTGCAAACACCTATGCCATGTCATTTTGCATTGAGAATACAATACCAATATGGATGCTATTATTATTTTTGTTATGAATAAATAAAATAAACCTCCACTTCTTCTTCATAATCCACACCCAGTATTCAGAAGCGAAGGATCCACAAATTCCAAAGGATCAAGGGCTACCCCACGTTCTCAACTCCTTTCCCCCAGCTCCTTCTTCTTCCCTCAGCCGCCATCGTTCCTTTCATTCTCCCATTACTAGTTCTTACCCTGCTCCTTCTCGCCATCTGGGTATCCCTAGATCTCCATTATCAGTTTTATTTCGTTGCTCTCACCTGGGTTTGCTCTGTATTATTAGTGCATCATCTGGGTACCCTTTGATTCCTCTCAATTTTTTCGCATTGATTAATAGCGGGGGATCCTTATTTGCAGGTTATTTTGATTCGTTCCGCATCTGGATAGGTGGAGCTTTTCTAAATCTGGCCCGGAATTCCCGTCAAGCCCTGGTTTTTGTTGTTTAGGGCCTCGGGATTCGGGGTTCGCTGCAGCGAGACTTGTTGAACTTTCCTTCTGTTCTTGATTTTCAACTTGTGCCGGTTCTGAAAGTCTCGTGCTTTGTCTGAAAGGGATCCAAGTGTCGGTGGTGGGTTGGTGTAAGCTGTGTTGCACTGATTCCTTCTTGCGGGGTTCTGTAAATGGGCGCTTTGGATGAGGGGCATTTCCATGTGGTGCTTGAGAACGGAGTGGAACTAGAGCCGCCTCAGGGGATTGAAGGCCAACCCGAGACTTAGGCTATTGAGGATGCTGTCAAAGTCCTTTTACAAGGTTTGGGGGAGGATATCAATAGAGAAGGAATAAAAAAGACTCCACTTCGTGTTGCTAAGGCTTTACGAGAAGGCACTAAAGGTACCACATTTTTCCTCCCGTTCCACTACTGTTCGACTTTATTTAATATGCTTTAGTTGTTTGCTTCTACATAGAATTTACCCTATTCCTAGATTCTATAAAAAAAAAAAACAAAGAAGTATCATAGATGGGAAGTGAATCTAAAGTTCATTGTTTGAATGGGTTCTAAAGGGCTGCAAACGAGCCGAGTCGAGTCGAGTTTTTGCTTAGTTTGAGCTCGGCTCGTTTATTAATTTTTCAGCTCGAGCTCGGCTCGAACTCGAATTTTGATAATCCAGCTCGAGCTCGAGCTCGGCTTGAATAAAAATAATCTAGCTCGAGCTCGACTCGGTAGAGCTCGATAAATGCTCATTAACATAGCTTGTTAAGCTGAGTACAAGCTCGGCTCAAGATGAGCTCGATTTAAAATCATTTTTGCTGGAAAATGTATAAACATAAGAATTTAAATGATAGAAAGAACACTAGAAACTAGAAATAACATCTAAATTTCATACACATCTGTATTATAAGACAATGTTCATGTTTAAAAGAGTAATTCATCCTTCCACAAGCTCAAAACAAGGCAGCTCGCTAGCTTAGCTCGACAAGCCACCGAATCAAGCTAGCTCGCGAGCTTATCAAGCTGAGCATGGTCTAGCTCAGGCTTGGCTCGTTAACTAACGAGTTGGCTCACGAGCCGGCTTGTTAAATAACGAGTCGAGTGTCGAACGAGTTTTTTCCGATTCGAACGCCGAGTTGCTCGCAAGCGGCTTGGCTCATTTGCAGCCCTAGTTCTAATGTATCACCACTCCACATCTTTAGCGTGTAGGAATGGTGGATTACCTATGTTTGTCACCTTCTGCCGTATACGTTAGTGCTGTGCATATATTTGGAACTATGATATTGATATTTACCTAGTTCTTCTGTATCTGTTAGTAGTTTTACCGCATAAGCTTATCGTACTCAACCTTTTCGCCGTTGTTTTCTGATTATGTGTGGGATAAGACAACTCGTATCGTCTTTTAATTAAACAACTGAACCTCAGAGAAATTTAATTTGAATTGCTAATAATTCTGCGGGAAAAGTCTGAGGAGGATCTTGGATTCCGATGCAATGATCTGCATTGCGTGCAAATGGATTTTGAGTTATTTGAACTTTCAATGTAGTATTTCCTAATGATTTATTTTGTCTCCTAACATTTACAGGTTATAAGCAAAAGGTGAAAGACATAGTTGAGGGGGCTTTATTCCCTGAAGCTGGTTTGGATGCTGCAGTGGGAAATGCAGGGGGAGCTGGTGGCCTTGTTGTGTCCGGGATCTTGATCTCTTCTCTTACTGTGAGTCATGTCTACTTCCTTTCAGTTCAAGTGCCACGTTGGTTATATTCCATCTGGTCAAAGAGTTGTAGGGTCAAGCAAGCTTTCTAGGGTGGCTGATGTATTTGCAAAGCGACTCCAAGACCCACAACGCCTAGCAAATGAAGAATGCTCAGCTCTTCATCATTGGATCAAGCCGGCAGGTATTGCTGTCGTGCTCCAGTGCTGGCACATGCATTTCCCAAGCTTAGAGTCGTTCCTTGTGGAGTCCAATAGTCAGGGATGGTTGAGGGTTTTGGTTCGTTCAGGTAATGGTGCTTTTGAAAATTATAAGGGTGGCAGTTGGAGTGATTTTTTTAGCTTTCTGAAGTTCAAAGGCATAAACACCGATAATTTCCTGGCAGAAGGCTCTATAGCCTCATGGTGTCCATCACAATCTTGTTCAAGTCTAAAAGTTTCTCCCAATGGGCAAATCAACACAGGGATGATTACAGCAGTGGATTCAATCCTCATGTCTTTAGGGGAAGACCCTTCGAGAGAAGAGCTAGTTGGCACTCCAGTTCGTTTCGTAAAGTGGCTTATGAATTTTCAAAACACCAGTTTTGAGGTGAAGTTAAATGGGTTTGTCTACGGTAGAGGGGTTGATTCACTGAAGGCCAATGGAGAACCAGTAGTATACCATAAGCAAGAGCAGTTGCAGACCGAGGTAAACTTGTCATTCTGGTCTCAATGTGAGCACCATTTGCTGCCCTTTTATGGAGTTGTGCATATAGGGTACTTCGGGTTCAATCTTATTCCCAAGTCCCTTCTAAAATCAATTGTGCATTTTTATGGCTTCAAGCTCCAAGTACAGGAAAGACTTACTAGACAAATTGCAGAGACCGTTTCGTCCTTGGTAGGTGGGGATGTGATTGTAGTTTTAGAGGCTGGCCACACATGTATGATTTCCAGAAGCATTGAGAAGTTTGGAAGTAGTATAGCTACAATTGCTCTACTGGGACGATTTTCAGCCGACCCTAGTGCAAGAGCCATGTTTTTGCAGAGCCTCCCAAATAGTAGTACTGCATTGGGGCCATCTTGATTGATTATAATTGAAAACCGCTGTTAAGTTTTAGTTCTTTCGTAGAAATATCATTGCTATGTTCTGCCATTTGTCTTTATTTTAGTTCCCATTGGTGCAATAATTAAGCATGAAGAATTTTGTGTTCTTTTCTCGAGTTATTAACCTTAGAGTATGCGAGTTAAGCAGTGTATCCATCTATTCATGATTGTTGATCTTCATGGCTAATTTTGTTGATCTTTCTCGCTTATTTTCTCTTTGATAGATTTCTTGTTTTGTTCTTTATCGATGAATATCTTGGATCATATGAATTTATGGTAGTGGCTCATGCTATAAACAAAAAGCAGCAGCACCGTTGACAGGTGAAGCATGAGAAGATGAAACAGCATGATACCAAAAAAATACAAACTTTGTTGGTATGAATAGACGTACCATGTTGGTATGAACATACTATTATGTTAAGAAGGTTGAATACATGATAATAGGAGTATACAAACTGTCATTTACGACTTTTATCATTGTTTACCATAAGTTACAACCAGAAATTTGTAGATCCAATAAATCATGATGATCTCGTTCCTTCTGAGCAAACGTTTTCAAAAATGACTTAAAAACGAAGAAGTTACCAAATGGTATGTAGTTGGTAAAAAAAAAGTTTTTCGAAATTGAAAATTGATCTCATTTTGTAGAGCACAGCGAACACGTTCCATGTGTGCAAAAAAAAAAAAAATTGAAATCCGAGTTAAAACGAAGAAGATAAGAGCCAATTATGAAAACTAGCGAAAATAAAATGTCTTTAATTGACAACCCTTAGATCTGGATTTTCTGGACCCACTTAGATCTAAAGGTCCAGATTTAGTTACTCATAGGTTAATAACCAATGGTTACTCACCCTATCCTAAGCCTGAAATTGGATAGAAGAGGAATAGAACGGCTGACGACCTTGATAAAGAGAATAGACGAGATTTAGAGGATTAGGAAATAGTGGAGAAGAGGGATAGTTGAAAGATACTTTGTTTATTGATTTCTGATTATTTTAGGGTAATGTCTATTTATTACCCAATCCTTTTCCGGATTCTTTTATTTAAGTCAAACCAATTGAGTTACTAAAAATAATTCAAACGTTAACTTCCCGACAACTTTTTCGTTAGTAATGCTGACTAAGCATCATTATATTGAGTTGGCGTCCTACGTGGCGATCAATATACCATTATTTTCAATTTCTAATTTAAATAATATCAAATAATTAATAAAATGAGAAAAAAAGGTCAGCCCCAACTTGTGACCTCCCTCCCTTAGAGCCACAAGGCCACACTTTTCTTCCCCCTTCCTCCCTCATAACCAGTCTCCCAATCGCCGCCCAGATCCACCGCCTCAAATCCTCTCCTATCCCTTTCCACCACCTCCTCCACAGTCGGTACTCATCTAAGGACGATCTCAAGTTGTTTGTGAAGCTAAAGGAGAATTCGATGGCAGTATCCAAGGATGAGATCCTCGGGGGGGGGGGGGGATTCGAGAGTCGAAGGAGAAGCTCGAGAAGATCTAGCAGTTTGACCGTTGGGGATAATTTCTCGTCGGAGAGAGCTAAATGTTATTTGATTGTGTCCCTGGCTGTGTTACCTGAGGTCGAATGAGTACGATTGGGAGGATCCTTTGCATCTATCGGCCCAAAATACATCACCAGTTGGAAGTCTCAAGATCCAGTTGTCTCCCTGACTATGTTCCTTCTGCCTCCTTTTGTTTCGTTTTTATGGAGAAGGGAGCTTGATTTATGGTGAAGCGAGCTCGATTCAGTGAGGTATATACCTTTTTTGGTCACTTACTTGCTGAATCATCTAGGTTTTGCCTGGTGTGCGATAGAACCATCCATATTTTCTTGTCTTCGGTGCACTCATTTTTTTTTGTGCACTCATCTCATAATCACCATTTCAAGCATGCGATTCATGTTAAAATGGTATCGATCATTACTTGTAATATGATGAACAAGAAACACATGGATTTGCAAAAAAAAAAAAAAAAACATCATTCAAGATTTACTTCAATTTGAAGGATTAAGGGATTTAGGGTTGGGGTTTATAATTTGGGATTTTGGATTTGTGTTCAAAATTTAAGGTTTAGGGGTTAGGACAATGGATTGATTAGTTGTGATCATATATAATATCATCATATCACACTAATGCTACCAATTAAAATTAAAACTCGATGTCTTAAGGTTACTTTTAGAGTTGGGTACATTGTATGCACTCATTTTTGTGGGTACGCCAAAGTAGCCACTATATATGGTTCAGGCTAGCATACGCCAGGTTTACATCTCACACTACCGTACGCCAGTCGAGTTTTACTATTTAGACCGTGAATTACCGGAGTTTGGGGCATGATACTATACCCTAACCTCTAATGGGTGAACCCCCAGTCCCTAATTCTCTAACTCGAGCAACAAGATTCATTTAATCTAAGAAAATATTAACTGACGGTTCTGATTCAGTGAAATATATTTAAGTGCAAATAACAAGTGTGACACAGACACATATATATGAAATACTGGAATAAGCCTCATAAATAAACTAATAGTACTAGAATTCTACTAAACCTAACAATAATTATTCTACTATTAATAATAATAATAAAAACACCTAAGGTCGAGTCTCTATCATATTTGGTATTCAGGATTATGAGATTGAGATTGATATACCTCAAAATAAACGAGAAACAATGAAAATTATAAATTAATAAAATATAGCACACATATTTTAGTGCTTCCAATCCTCACTCTTTAACAACTCACAAGCCCCCATCAAATCCAATATTGGGTTTCAAATTTAAATCACTCTCGTATTTCACTCAATCTCTTGTTAATTTCATGGCGCCAAAAAGCAAACACTCTCATTAGTCGTCTCACAACCTCCAATCTATCGAATCAAAGATTATCAATGAAAAGAAATTGGTCGTTTTGAAGTTAGGAGTCTAAATGAGTGATTCTGTGAATGTGTATATTCTTTACAATCTATCATTATTTAACAAAAACTTATCCATAATGCATGCATTTGATTGGTACTTTAGAATCTCAAATAGCTAGAATCATTCATTTTAGAATCTCTACAAAAAGGTGAGATTCTCTTGCTTTACTTTTGTAATTGTTTTTTTCACCTCTTATCCTTATTTTTTATATATATTTCATATTTGCCCCTTCTTTAATTGAATAATATAAAGAGAACTTCAAGATTATATAAGTCTTTTTGGTCATTAAAGTGAGATTCATTATATTCTTCAAAAGTGAGAATCACAACTACCAAACAACATATTCTTACAATCATCTATTTCTTAGAATCACTGCACTTAGAATACATACATTCCAAGAATATACATATTCATAGACTCATAAACTCCCAAGACAAACTCAAGATCTTTTGCCTAGTCTCTTTCAGATAAATGGGAACTTATAGTGAATCAGTTCAATGGAGACTTGATTGAATCCAATCAATGATGACTTTGATTAGTTTTCATTAGACTTTTCTCACCACAAATTCTCATAACCAAAATTTTCAATCACGAAATGAAATTTACAAGTCTACAATATATAAAATGTTTGGGATTAGGGATGTTCTAACCATTAATTAATAATTTATATATTTGATTATTAATTAAAAATGTGATTAGTTTCGTATTCGAAAATATCGATTGAGCTACCGAAATATTTTGGAATTTCGATTTAAATACCAAATTTATTTGAAATTGAAATTGAGATTCATTTAGGGTGCAATTTGATAGTCGGAATTTCTGTATTTGATACCAAAATAATGGATTATTTCCGCCCTTAATATCCTGATGGACACTTTAGTTATTCCATTTTGTGTTTCGGCTTACATTGTTTTGTGTGGGCTTTTATTGGTTAATTGAGATACTTCGGGGATTAATAAGCTGGGGTAGTTATAGGTAATTGTGTTTTAGTATTTAAACTATTGTGCTACGTAGAAATGGCAAGCAAGATTAAACCTAAACTTAATTGTCTAATCTCTCTCTCTCTCTGCCTCTGCTGAGTTTCCCCTCCCTTTTCTCTTGGCTGCCGCGCGACCACTCCCCTCCCTTTTTCCTTCTTCTTCCTTGTTCACCCAAGCTCCGTCTTCCTTTCCATTTTCAGTAACAAAAGGATCAATCCCTACTTGATCCCCTTCCATTCCAATCCCTAGGTAAAACTCGATTTTCCGGGTTCTATCAATATGGTGCTCACCAAGTCCATGTCCGCTGATGAGAAGATCGTCCTGGCCAAACAAGCCGCCGACGCGGCCGTGGGACTGGTTGACAGTGCCAACGACACCGTCGCGGGGGCTCATCCACCGCCCAAGGCTATGCAAGGCCGACCGCCAGTGGAGGACGAGACGGAGAAGGAGGAATCCCAGGCCAACCTCCGCCAACTCGTGGCCACGATCGCGGAGGAGCGACGTGAGCGGCTAGAGGAATCTCGTCGGGTGTGGCGTCGGTTGGACGAGCTCCAGGAGATGTTGGTGGCGCTATACGGCGTGCGCCAACAACCGCCAAAGGGATCTGCAGGCGGCGATGGGTCGAGTGGAGCGGCGGCGGTGGTCCTTTCGCCGGCAACAGAGGAGATGGAGACGGTGCCGACGATTGGGGGCGAGGGTGACCGGGCTGCAGAATAGGAGCATGCAGACCACGACACGCTAGGGCGGGGCGGCGGGCCTGCCCTTTTGCCGATGCCGACGGCCCAGGAGGTGGCGGCCCTCAAGGGTAAGGCTAAGCTGCCCGGATATGACGGCGGGGCCCATCAGTCTGTGTATGGGCCATTGGGCCCGATGGGTCGTTTTGACTTGGTGGGGCAACCTCAGGAGCCCACGGGGCTAGGTTGGTTGAGCATGGGCCACGAACAGGCCGATGAGGAGCTCAGTTTGGCGAGCCAGAACGCACCGTGGGTCGACCCAGACTTTGAAAGAGATTACTTGGGCTCAAACCAGGACCCGGATCGGGCCGTACGCATGGGGCCGCGCCAGGAGGAGCGGGTTGGGAAGGACCGGCCAAGGCGGGGGTTAGGTCAGGCTGGTCGAGTCAAGGCCGACCGGACCGGGATGGACCGGGCCGGGTCGGGTGAATGCAAATTGGGCCAGACCGAGTTGGGGTGAGGCTGGGCGAACCGGACCGGGTAGGGTCGCGGCGGGTTGGATCGAGTCGGGTCGGGCTGATCCAACCAGAAGAGGACCAAATCGATCCGAACAGCAGCACGTCAGAGCAGGCAGCTTGGGATCGTATGGCTGGCGGGGACCATGCGGAGCTGTGAGTGCGACTGGTCTGGCCGCTAGAGGCGCTTCGAGTAGCTATGGGCGTGGACGGGAGCTCTAGTTTCCTCAGGGCAATCAGGGTGGAGAACCGGACTTCGACAGGTATGTTTCGTACCACCATTCCTATGATGGAACTGACGGGTTAGTCTTTCGGGCCAAAACTCCAACCATTGAGTTTCCAAAATTTAATGGTCAGGAGGATGCAGGCCTCTGGTTGTATGCAGCTGAGAGGTGGTTTAGAAACCACCCCATACCGGAGGAGCGGAAGATGCATATGGCTTCTTTCTACTTAGAAGGTGAAGCATTGTAGTGGTGGAAATGGATGGAGAGATCATATGGGGCGGCGAAGACCCTGATCACATGGTCGATGTTTCAGGAAGAGCTCCGTTACCAGTTTGGTAAGTCGGAGGAGTGGGCCCCCGAGCAGCTGGCCAAGCTGAAGCAGACATGGACGGTCGCGGATTACCGTGCAAAGTTCTTCAAGTTGCGCAATCAATGTCGTGGGGTGCCCGAGGACACGCTGGTGGGACTGTGCATGGCAGGCTTGAAGCCCGAGATCGCTGTTGTCGTCCGTGTCTTCGAACCGAACTCCTTGAAGTCTTCTTTTCGTCTTGCAGGATATTAGGAAGAGGAGCTCGCAAGCTGGAGGAGCACCATAGGGCGCTATCAGTGACCAAGCGGAGCAGGAGGCAGTAGCGGGACTGGCGGAGGAGGAGCCTTGACCAGGGCAAGCAAGGGTGCTGGGGTTCCCGTTGTAGAGTCGGCGCCAATAACTACAGTTGGGGGGGGGGGGATGCGACCACCACCTAAAGGATTTGTGCGACTCACCCTGCAGAGATCGAGCAAAAGAGGCGTAAGGGAAAATGCTTTAACTGTGACGAGCGGTTCACGATGGGACACAAGTGTGAACGCCCAGATTTGATAATGCTTGTCGGAAGATGGGAAGATGAGGCTGAGGATGAGGCGAGCGGGAAGGGCGACGTGGTAGAAGACTAACAACCTTGGAGACAAGGTTGTTTTGAAGGGAACTGGAATGATAGACACTTTAGTTATTCGGTTTTGTGTTTTGGCTTAGATTGTTTTGTGTGGGCTTTTATTGGTTATTTTGAGATACTTCGGAGATAATAAGTTGGGGTAGTTAAAGGTAATTGTGTTTTAGTATTTAAACTATTGTGCTACGTAGAAATGGCAAACAAGATTAAACCTAAACCTAATTGCCTAATCTCTCTCTCTCCCTCTGCCGAGTTTCCCCTCCCTTTTCTCTTGGTTGCCGCACGGTCAATCCCCTCCCTTTCTCCTTCTTCTTCCTCGTTAACCCAAGCTCCCTCTTCCTTTTCATTTTCAGCAACAAAAGGATCAATCCCTAGTTGATCCCCTTCCATTCCAATCCCTAGGTAGAACTCGATTCTCCGGGTTCTATCATATCCCTGAAAGATGGGGTTGTTTGGAAGTTGTGATTGTTAAATGGATGTACTGTTGTGAATACATGTATAATATTATACATGTATTGTCGAATTTGATGCATTGTAGAATACAACGTTTGGTATGTCTGATTGTTTATGTCACATCAGCTCAAAGCTGAGACAAAACAATCTCAACTCAACTATCTCAACAATCACAACGAAAAGTTGAGATATAACAATCACTCATTTTGAGTGATAGTTTCTGTCACATCACAGAAACAATCCATGCATTGTTTCTGATAAAAAGACAAAAAAACGATGCATTCTAAACAATACATGTATAGTAACAATCTCAACAAAACAATCGCAACTACCAAACGACCCCATAGTTTATGTATAGAATCCACAACATGACAGGTAATTTGCAAAACCGTATTGGAAAGATGTGATTGAGGTAGAATACCGTCTTTATCATTGATACATATGATTGAACATTACCATTACCATGAATTAATAACTCATAATCCACTTGTTAGATAAGTTATCGGAATCCACCATCCACTCTTTATTTCAATTTTTTTTTTAGGGAAACGTTTATTTTATAAATCAAGAATTGCTAGGCATCATTACATCAGCTTGCAAAGCTTGGACAAGAAAAGAAGGTGGACTATCTACCCATATGTCTTCCCTTTCCCACCCACAATCTGTATGGGCCACAAGGTGGGCTGGCTCATTTAGTTTTCTGCTAATGTAGGACCAAGCAACAGGCCCTAGCCCAGTCGCCTTCCTCCTTATCTCTTCATAGACTCGACCCAACTCTAGCTGGGTTTGTTGCTCTCCCCTGAGAATTCTCGCCACCCTTTGACAATCCATCTGGATCTCAGAGTTCAAGAAATGGTACCGACCAACAATCTCTACCCCGAAATCAACCGCCATCGCCTCCGCCAGGTCGGGATCCCACTGTCGCCTCGATCTCTTCACTGCCTCCAGCCTGAAGGCTCCGGCGCGATCCCTTACAACCACTCCCAGCCCCGTTCCCCGATCCTGCAGGCATGCCGCGTCAACGGTCATCGTGAAATCGGCAGCCGTCGATGGGGCCCATTTCGTCTGCTCCGCTTGCTGAGTTCGCTCCCTCGGCGACTGAGCTTCCAGGTACTCTTCGATCCAACGACTCGCTCGCCCCATGATTTCCCACTCTTCCATTTTTGATTTATTCCATAGCTGGCTGTTCCTTTGGTCCCAGATGAACCACAGAGCTACCAGGAAGCGGCCGATCTGTTCGTCTGGCTCGTGCTCTTGCAATTCGCAGAACCATTCCTCAGAGGTAAGGTTCTCCCCTCTCTCGAACATAGAAGCAAGAGGGCTAGGTCTCCAGACTCTCCGAACCCACCCACACTCTTGAAAGATATGGAATTGCGTTTCCTTTAGGTTGCAGAACGGACACCCTTCGCTGCCCTTTGTGGTTCGTTGCACAACCCGTTTCCAAGCAAAAATCTTCACCTTTTGGGGGATTTCTAGTTTCCACAGCCTATCCCAGTTTGCAGGGGAATAAAATTCTCCTCTTTCCTCTTCATCGCGGTTGAACCAAAGCCTATAGGCAGATTTCACCGAGTAGTCCCCAGATTTCTCTTCGCCCCAGACCCTTTCATCTCTTCCCCAATCCCTTGGAATGGGGATCTTTAGGATGTTGACTCGATCTTCTGGTAGGAAGTGATCATTCAGGACATCGACTCGCCAGCACTTTCCTTCGAAGTCGATCAATTCTGCCACAGAGGTAGAGTCCCCCAACCTGGTTGTTGGGGTTTTGATTTTGAAATTCTCATTCCCTGGCACCCATTTATCCAGCCAGATATCAATGCTGCAGCCGTTTACAATTCTCCACCTGCATCCTCTTTTAACCAGGGATCGTGCTGATAGCAAACCTTTCCATAGGAAACTAGCATTATTTCCAGCTTCAGCCTCCAGGACTTCCCTGTTTGGGTAGTATTTAGCTTTCATCACCCGAGCTGCCAGTGAATCAGGTCTGGCTATAAGTAGGGATGGCAAAAATATCCGTAATCGTGGATATCCACCCGAATCCGTCCTAATCGGGTAGGGTAAAACCCGAACGCGAAAGAAATTTAGTGGGTACGGGTAAAACCCGAACCCGAATATTGTGGGTAATGGGTGGGCATGGATTTCTCACTATCCAACCCGAACCCGCCCGATTATACAAATGCATATGTATTTTCTCTAGATATAATCACTATTTTTCTCTAACATATTTTATATTTACCATATAAGTATAATATTTTCATGAAATTATGCCGTTTTAATTAATTTTCTTCATTCTAGTGAATTATTGTCGTACTTTTCCTCTTACGTAATGTGAGAATTCGTGTGAATGTTAACATATTGGTTGAAGTTATGAAGAGAAATGATTACCCATGGATAACCGTGGATACCCGAAACCCGAACGGGTATGAGCATGGTTTTGATTTTCTACCCGTTTCACATGTGGGTATGGGTATGGGTAAAACCCGAAGTACTTTGGGTAGGGTAACAGATATGCACTATCCGCCCCGACCCGACCCATTGCCATCCCTAGCTATAAGCCTCCACATTTGTTTTCCAAGCAATGTTTTGTTGAAACCTTGCAGATCTTTGAACCCCATTCCCCCTACCTTCTTTGGTTTGCAGAGTTCTTCCCAACGCAACCAGTGGGTTCGGCCTTCTTCTGCTTGTTGTCCCCACCAAAAGTTAGCAATAAGGCTTTGGATTTCTTTTAGAATCCCCACTGGGACTTGGAATAGGGACATTACATAAGTCATTTGCGCTTGTGCCACTGCTTTTATGAGGATCTCCTTCCCCCCAATTGAGAGTAGGGAGCTCTTCCAATATTTCACCTTCTGTCTAACCCTGTCCACCAAATATCCAAAAACTTATTTCTTTTCTCTCCCCACTCGAGTAGGTAGGCCTAGGTATTTCTGGTGATAATCCACCACCTTCAAAATTTATTTTATTACAAAACCAAAACATGTATTTATTCACCTAGTTGAACAATCCAGCATCATTAGGAATTCTGCTGTTAAGGTCCAGAAAGCATAAAGCTTTAACCTTCAGATGTCCGAGGATTATGTACAAGTTCACGACAGTTCAACAGAACTAAACAATGAACACAGAACGCAACAGTTGCGCACAAACATATATATGCTAGTCTAACCAAAGGTGCCTGATGGAAGCCCAATCTACATGAATTTTTGATTTACGGCTGCATTTTAGACGAGTGTGAATCATGTAGGTCAACAACATGCCAATGAGTATAATCAGACATGCCCAAATTACAGCGGCCGGAACACGAGTCTGCAATGTGAACAAAGAAAGGAGGTTTAAAGGTCAGGATGAGGTATGAAATAAGAAAACCAACTGCTGAACGTGTCACCAGAAATCTAGAAAGCCAGCCAGCAAGTTTGGTCATGAAATGCCCTTCAAAGACTAGACATGAATAGGATAAGAAACCTGTCCAGATAGTGAGCCCCGACGACTGAGAGGCATGTGCTTGTCAGCATGCTCAAGTGCATAGACCAGCATTTCAGCAATTGCCAACTCAGTTGCTGGATCATAGCTTTCTGCAAGGCAGAATGCAAATTGGTCAAGTGGTGTGTCTGGGCTAAATAAAAAGTCAACCTTACAGTGTTTATTAAGCGAAATCTCAAACAAACAAAGATTCAGTAGAAGAGATGATCACCTGGAATGTCAAAAACCTGTGTTGCAGGTGGAACACCCAAAAGGTCTCCCAGACGGACACGGATGCGGGCACGGTCAGCAAGTGAAATCAGATCACCATGAGTAACAACGACGATGGGTTTATCATCTGCCAAACGGGGAAGACAAGCAGCACAGAGGCATGACCAAATAATTTCTGACTCCTAATTGCAAAAAGAACTAAAGATGAAAAATTGACAGAAGATGCAAAAAGTAACTGGTGGTTTCTTGTAAAACGTTTCTGCATGCCTAAGTAAATCCTTGACCACCACCAAACTCTTCCCCCAGCTCTAACAACAAGGCTATGATTGAGATTTGAGAAACAAGATTTTCGTGCAGTTTCAGTACCTTTAAATGACAAGTAGGGACAGTTGAATGTTGTAACAATCATTTGGGTATATTTGGTGCCTCGCTCACAATTTGTCTCCATTGCTTTGAGAACTTCAAGCCCATTGATGACAAATATTACAAAGTTCACCTTCCTCTTTTCTCTGGACCAGCAACCACTCTGGCGAGCTTTGCCCTTCATTCTTTTTACTAAACTTGAACTGTCTGATGGCCTGTGTGTAAAACCAATTAAGAGATATCGTGTAGGAATTTCAAAAAAATTATTGAGTTAATGGAATTTCCAAAACCAGCGAGAAACAAATAGTAATTGAACAATGAAGAGTTTAGACCTGAGTATCAGCCCCCCGTTCCGAACACCTTTAGTCATCAACTGCTTGAGCATCTCAATGTTTTCAGATGTGCTATCTGACAAGCCACGGGTGTCATAAAGACAAAATGAACTTGAATCTCTAGGAACCGAATACTCCTGAAGGAAGTATGTTCCATCTCCAAACAACAGATTACCTGAAACCAAGAGAATAACACCCACAATCAATTCAAGACCAAATTGAACAACTTAACCATTGATGCAGCAGGGTAATCTGCAGAGTGACGTGAAAAAGGAGGGAGGAAAAAAAAATGCAGCAACACATACATGATACTTGCGCTCTTTCAGAAGCAAACTTGCCCTTTTCAAACACCTTTGAAATCCGATTAACAAGGCTGCTCTTTCCACATCCTTTTGGACCAACCAGCAACAATGTTGTTGTCTCTGGAACGTTATAGTTGCTACATTTCATCGCCCTGGAGTTTTCAACCCATCTTCCAGGTGTGTAGCTGCAAGTCGGATTGAAAATGAAACAGACTTTAGCGTCAAAACAACATGAGAATGACACTAGTATCTTTTTCTGAATCCTAGATGGTCTGAGTCAAGCAAGAACAACTTGACTCCTTGTAACACAAATAATAGTCACATTAGCTCCCATTAAGCCTATAATAAGAGACAGCATTTATGAATTATGATCATTCTGCAAGAGAGCAAAACTACCTCAAAATCTTGGTTTTCAAATCATCAAGGGCCTCAGTCCTCACGTGCGACTGATCAAAACTTTGCAAGATTTCCCGGTAAACCCTGCATTTATTCTTCTTCTTGGCTTCACATCTGCAAGGACCATGATTGGGAATTGTTTGATCGTCTTTCTCCGAGGAAGGGGCGAAACATAATCAATTTGAATTCGGGACAGCTATTCGAAATCTTAGTGAAAGACTGGATTCAAGAAAATTTGCAGAAATTCTCCTGCCGGATCCCTGAAGTTCTTCAGACACGAAATTGTGCCCTTCACCCACAAGTTTAGCATCCAAATCCCTGCTCACAATTAGCCACAAGTCCACCCCTATAAGCGAACAATTGATCAGGAAACCGAATTCTCGGTTTAGTTAGTTCAGTCAACAGAACCAGTCCAACACGGCAAAATCGATGCATTAGCGCGATCGATCCCCAAACAGGGATTGTAACTAAGCAATTACAGAAGAAAGATTTCCTTTTACTCTAATTTATAATCCCAAGGAGAGCCAGGGAAAACTCCCGTTTTTCCCCCTACCACCCTTTGTCTCAGTAATGAGGAAAGGACATACCCTTTTGCTTAAAGAAAGAAAGAAAGAAAGGAAGGAAGGACATACCCAGGATGAAAGGATAGGCCCAGAGAGAGCGACCCAGAAAAAGCCTGGTCGACGGAGGATCCTTCCTCTGATAAAATATACCATGAAAAAAGAATGACAAACAAGAATCAAAACCAAGGGTTCGTTTGCTTCAAGGATTTGGTACATGGATTTGGTATAAAAAAACCAACTATCAAGGATTTAGGTACAATCTTTTGTTTGCTTCATCCAAATTTGTTGAAATAAATCCGTGGGGCCCACGGATTTGGGTTTTTTTTGTGCCCCAAATCCGTGGGCCCCACAGATTTATAAATCCCACATGATTTGGCTAGCTGATGAAAAACCAAGAGCGAAAATGACACTCATATCCCCATTATTTTTCATTAAACCAAAAATCCATTATTTTTCATTAAACCAAAAATACCCTCTCTATCCCTTAACCAATGCAGTCAAAATCTAGATTTTAAGTAAAATCGAAAACTGAGGTAGAATCGAAATCGTAGATTAAAATCGTAAAATCGTAAGATTTTAAGGTTCATATTAAAATAAATACTTAAAACACTAGATAGTAATAATAATGCATATCTTGAATAACAATCAACCACATAAAGCATAATTACTTCCCAAGATAAGTTTGTTTGCTAAACAAACACAACTAATCCATATATTTTTCTTGTACATAATAGAAACACACAAATAAGAAACCTGAAACATTATAGATATCACTGTTAATTAATTGTTAAGAGTAGAAAATCACATAAGATTGTTAGGATCAACATTAACATCACTTACACATCATCGTCATCGTCATCGTCATCATCCTCAACCTCACCCTCACTCTCATCGTTTTTATTTGTTTAAGGACTAATATCATTACTCTTATGATCACTTGAAGTACTTTCACCATTAACCATATTTCCTTGATTACCATCATCTGGAAAACATAACTCATTGATTGATGCATTCCCTTCTTAATTGATAAAAGGTAGGGTTAGTGGTGCTGAAGGATTGGGAGATGAACAAAAGCTTGCAATGTAATGGAGATTTGGATTATTGTGAGGGTGGTGGGAACAAACTACAAGCTAATTGGGAGGGTGGAAGATATCGTTGATGGAAGGAGTTGGGCGCCAACGTGCGAAAGAGGAAGATACGAGGAAGAGAATGAAAATAAATTGAGGGTTAACTATCAGGTTGGGGTTGTGTTGTTCATTATGTTGGGTTGGGGAAAGTAAATTTGACTCGGTTCATGGGCATAACCCAACTTGACCGGCCTAATTTTGATCCAATTGATACGAACCTTGAAATCGTACAAAATCGTAGAAATCGTAGATTTTATGGATTTTAGAGTTTTAAATCGGGATTTTATGGGATTTTAAGGTTCAAAGATTTTACAGTAAAATCAGGATCGGAACCCATAGGTAAGATCGTAAAATCGTAAGATTTTAAGATTAAAATCGGGATTTTGACTACATTGCCCTTAACCCTATTTATCGTTCTATTCCCCACAGTCTTGTTCTATTCCCCTCAAACAGAGAAGCTGCGGAAGAGAAGACTCACCCGCTCGGAAAAGTGCAGAATCCAGCTCGGCGACAATCTTCCATCGGAGTTCATCTGGGCTTGGTCAACCTCGAACGGCGAATCTGGTATCAGGGACTTAACAGGCTTGCAATGAGTCTCAGGGAAATTTACGGCTGGCATTTTCCAGAGCTCGCTAAGATTGTTAATGACAACGTTGTCTATGCTAAAGCTGTGAAGTTGATGGGTTTCCGTGAGAACGCTGCAAAACTTGATTTATCCGAGGTATGTACATCTGAATCTGGGCTCCTTGGAGGTATGTACCTCTGAATCTTGACAACAAATCAACAACTGCATTTTCTTGATTTTGTAGATATTACCAGAGGAGGTCGAGGAAGAAGTGAAGGAAGCAGCCAAGATATCGATGGGGAGTGAAATGGACGAATATGACATGGCAAATATAATGGAGCTCTGCAACAGGGCCTTGTCTCTAGCCGAATACAGGCCTCAACTGTACGACTACCTGAAAAGTAGGATGAACGCCGTTGCACCTAATTTGACTGCTCTGGTTGGAGAGCTTGTTGGAGCTCGGCTGATTGCCCAAATTATTAAATCCTTTAATGGGTTAAAAAAAGGGCAATAAGGTAAATGCAATTCTTTATTTCTAAATCCCAAATTATTAAATCCATGATCAAAATGAAGAAACAAACAAAGGATTTTTCCAAATCTAAAATGCCCCAAATCCCAAATAAAACCTTAGGTTTTTAAATCCCACGTTTAAGTGAAAACCCTCATTTTACAATCCTTGAAGCAAACGACCCTAAATGATCAGAAAATGTGAAAGTAGAAGCACGGAGAAGACGAGATGGTACCAGAAAGAGTGGAAACACGAGGAGGTGGATCGCCGCCCATCTTAGCCACCGCTGAAGGTGATTCAGCTGAGAGAGTGTAGCGGAAGTGGGGAACAGAGTCCTGGAGGCTCAGCAAACAAGATTTGGTGTTCTAAGATTTACCAAGTGTGATGAGTTTGTTTGCTTTTCGCTCAAAGTAAAATGGTAAATCCCAAGTTTGGTCACTGAGTTTAGGGATGGTAATGGGTCGGGTCGGGACGGGGACGGATAGTGCATATCCGTTATCCTATCTAAAATAGTTCGAGTTTTATTCATATACATAATCACATAAGAAACGGGTAAAAAATTCAAATTGTGCCGATACCCATTTAGATTTCGGGTATCCACGATTATCCATGGGTAACTCCAACCAATATGTTGACGTTCACGAGAATTCTCACGTAACGTAAGAAGAAAAGTACGACAATAATTCACTAGAATGAAGAAAATTAAATAAAATAACACAATTTCATAAAAATATTATATTTTTATGCTAAATATAAAATATGTTAGAGAAAAATATTAATTATTTATAGACAAAATACATATGCATGTGTATAATCGGGCGGGTTCGGGTTGGATAGTGAGAAAACCACGCCCATCCATTACCCGCAATATTCGAATTCGGGTTTTACCCTACCCAATTAGGTCGGATTCGGGCGGATATTCATGATTACGGATATTTTTGCATCCCTAACTGGGTTCATTCAAAACGTGTCATGTTTAGTTACTGAAAAAAGTTAATATCAATTTTGGTCACTCGAATTAGTAAAATGGTCTGTGTTTAGTCACTCTCCGTTAACTTTATCTTATGTGGCAGTCAACACTAATAATTGAACGTTAAATGTCTGACGTTGCAATTATAAAATTAGTAAAAATAAATAAATTTAATTCTTTTATCATTTAATTTGACGAATTGGAGATTGAGAGACGGCTAATACTAGTGTTGTTTTTTTTTTGTGTTATGAAAATAACAAGAGATTAGGTGAGAGTCGAGAGTGACTTAAATTGAAAACTCAAATTTGGGTTGGATGAGAACTTCTAAGTTGTGAACTAGTGATGAAATGATCTATATATAATTAAATGCACTCTTGGTGGTTGAGAGTCGTGTAGTATGTCGGTATTGATCGGTGTTTCGGTATATATCGATCACAATCTCGTAATCCCTAATACCGAATAACTATTGAAATTCAATCTTAATCTCAATCCCAAGAAATTATATGTGTATTCGGTAATACCAAATATAGACAAATTCGATACGGTATATCCCAAATACCAGTAGCAAACTTCTAGCCCTAGTAGCAGCGGGTTACAGGGATCAGGATTTTTTTGGGGAAGGATTTTTCTGGAGACAGGTCGGATGGCGAAGGGATTTTTTGTTTTATTTATTTAGTTTATTATTTTAATGATGTGGAAATAAAAAAAGAATTAAATTTATTTTTTATTAAAGTGAAAGACACGAAAGCTCCTTACTCAGCGACTTTGGATGGAATTGTACCACTACCTCTCCTCCTCTTCTCCACCAACACGAGAGGACGGCGGAGGTGAGAGCAGTAGCAACGGGTTACAGGGATCGGGAAATCATTCCAGATTACCCCAAACAATCTAAACCCACCCTTTTCATTTCGACAAAGTTTTAAATAGAAAGAAGAAGATTGACGCTGGGGAGAAATGGAGGTGAATCGTGTTGAAGAAAGCAGAGGGAACGATTACGGTGCTAATTGTACAATAGTTAGCACCATTCTAACCAAGGGAAAAACTACTACTAGTTTGAATTAGTAGTGATTTAGCTTTGATGTTGTATTGATTTTATAATAATCCGTAGTGATTTTTGCTAGTTATCACGGTGCTAACCCCTATAAAGGTTAGCACCTAATCCCATCCCGAAAGCAGATGATAAGTTTTTGTTCTCTGGTTCGTCTTTGAGAAAAAAAGAAGAATGAGGAGAGGGGAAGCCGATTGATGAAAATGAACAGGCAACTAGGGTTCTTTATCTCTAGGTTTAAGCAACAGTCCTTGTTTTGTTTATTGTTTCATCATTTATTATTTTATAGTAAGCTTAATTCGCAAAATTAACATAAGATTTTTTGTTTGATCTAGTTACTATCACCTCTAACTACTTGAAAAATATTAAAAACCTTGATTAATACCCTCGTTTGGGCTTCATTTTACATGCACATATTTATTTTACTTGGAGATTTTCCTAATACGAAATCGTAGTCGATAAATCGTGATAATCATTCTTGATGAAATTCTTCCAAAGATAACCTATAATTCAATCACTAAATTGAAATATCATAAATATACTTCATAACAACTCAAATTATCATTTGGACCATGATTAATAGAGCGTTTTGAGATCACTTTTTTAAAACACTCTTTTTTTCATCGAACTACGTGGACTTTGATCCCGACTACTCGGGTACGTAGGCAACCAATAGGTTCGGGTCCAACTAACAAAAAATCATTTCTTTACGTTCGAGATTTACGTCAATAGACGTATGATCGAATTGTAATAACAAATACCTAATTAATTGAATCACATTATAAATACTTAAATAAGCCAAATAATAACAATACACCCAACCATTAAAACTTATCGATTTAAGTAGTACCAATTTCAGGGCGTTGTGGGGTGTGAATGTGCACTTCCCCACACGTAACCATACTCCCGAACCCAGAATTCTAAAATTTCGCATACCAAATGCCGGTTTCGACCCTAAGGTTGAATCTGGGCAAATTAGTGTTCGACCCACTACAACTAAGGTCATGGCGACTCCGAACATCACGCGACAGGTTCCCCAATCTCGAGGGGCGGTTGCGACAATGGCAAATGTATAGCTCTCCAGTACCCCCCCCCCCCCCCCCAAATGAAAGAAAAAGAAAAGAAAAAGAAAAGAAGTCGGAAAAGAGGTAATAAAATGGGGTAAATAAAAGTAGGGAGTTGTCACAAAGTCTAAGTGTACGCTCTAGAAAGGGTTTCTTGGTACTCAAGTCGTTAAAACACCTAAATTGTTTGTTAACCTCCTTCACTACTATAATTAAGATGTGGATAGCAAGAATAGACTGAGGAAGTGTGCTTGAATGTAGTTCGTGGTTGGTAGTGGTTTGGAAGAAGGGAAGAGTGGTTTTTGGCTGTTACTAGTGGCTAGCGATGGCAATTTTGACCTGACCCGTTTTACCTGACCTATTTGGCCTGTTTTGGGGCGGTTCCGACCCGCTTCGTAGGCGGGGCGGTCATGGGTACTATCATCGATTCGACCTGCCCTGAGCCGCCCCATTCTCGACCCGTTCTTGCCGAAATTACATGTAATGTTAGTTAAATTACTTAGGATTTTTCAGTTATCACATGATAATTTAGCTATAATAAAGTTGTAAATTAGTGAAAATATAATTTTCTCTATAATTTAACTACATTTATCATAATATTGTTTGTTTTCTTGGTCTTATAATAAAAATAATGAATATTTATAATGTTTTTCATATAAATTGCATACCTATTAGGTCGACCTGCCCCGACCTGCGACATGTGATAAATTACCCGACCTGCCACGGGGTGGGTCTGGGTACCAAGAAACCCGCCCCGGACCTGCCCCATTGCCATTCCTACTAGTGGCCTTTGTTTGTAGGAAAGGTTCTAGTCGAAACCTTTGAAACTTTGGTTTTAGGTTGAAGTTGTAGAACCTCATGCTTTGCTTGCCACCATCCAAAAGGCCTTTTTCCCCATGTCCAAGACACTTGCCAGTCATTTGAACCAATGTCTAGGACCTCCAGACAAGCTAGTGACGACACCCACTTTGTGAACTCTAGCGCTTAGAAGTTGCCGCCGTGGTGAAGAGACGATAGGGTTGAGTGTTGATGATTGTGCACATATTTTTCACCAAAAGGTCCTGACCCCACTGGTCGATAGTGAGTGATTCATTCACATTATGCATGTTCATATCTTATCCCGGTGAGGACCTTTTCGCCCTTTCATCTGTTCCATGGACTTAAGAGTTCTATGCATGGTTAGTTGTGGTTAATGAGTAGTCCGGTCGAGACTTGTATTGATTTGTGAACATGGTGAGAACTTTTCGTTTGCACGTCTTAATGCATTCGAAAATCGTTTGTGGTGGATGTCGGTATTGCTTGTAACGATTCATGTGTTGAGGTCCAATAGCCATTGAAGATTCACCCACTTTGAGCTCTTTGATATGTCCCCAAGTTACTTGTTAGGTTGAGATATTACATTGTTTGGAATTGGTTTGCTTGGGGACAAGCAAACGTCTAAGTATGGGGGAGTGATTCGGGCTCATTTGTACCTTTTTACCCCCAATTTGCTTAGTCGATTGAAGCATTTTTACTCTGGGAGGTTTGGTTTTATGCCGGGTTTTGCCTTGTTTTGGTGTTTTTCAGACTATGGCAGGTGGAACCAACCCGGAGTCAAAATTTGGATGAAAGGACGAAAAATCAAATCAAAGGGTGGAAGTAGCAGATCACGGTTTAGGCTGTGTGTTCATGGTCACTAACACCGTGGACTGGAGGCGCTACCCGTGAACTTCCAGGCATACAGAGCACAAATCGCTTTCACTAGACACAAGTCAGTTAATGGTCGTAAGACCATGAACTCAGGCCATTGCCCGTGAACAGGACTTAGCGATGCGACGCGTTTCGACTTGAGGTCACGGTCCGGGCTTTCAGTTCACGGCCATGAATTGGGACCGTGATCTAAGCCCAATCCGGGTATTAAAAGGGTAGTGAGCTGAAGGAGAAG